TAAGTCAGTCAAAAAGAACAAAATGATCCAATCAAAGACATGCACAAAATAACTGACAAGTTCTTCAAAAGGCAATTGACTTGAAGTACAAATACCGTAGCATAGGGTTCTAAATGAGAGAAAGAAGATAATTATTCAATTTCTATGCTTAACTGAGGGAAAAATATAATTAAAGAGCTATGTTGTCATAGTTGCTGAGTGAAATTCAGCAGCCATAATTCAAGTGGAAAGAATATCAAGCCACTGAAGATAATGTTGAAATAAAAAAAAATTTAAAAAAATCTGCATGATTCAGGTTTTAAAAAATTATTTCAATTATATATATATATATATATATATATATATATATATATAAAATATAGTTTTAAGTTATGCTATATTTATGGGTTAAACTGCTCAGTATCAGGGATAGAGTGTATGTAAATATAAAAGTGCACACTGAAATCAACACTTAGAAGCGATAGCCTAAACACAGTCGTTGGCCCATATATATATATATATATATATATATATAGACACTCACACAAATAAAGAGAAAGAACAGTCAGATTAATAATCCACAGTTCTTTAGCATTTATTTTTAAAAAGTGCTCCATACAAAGTAAAGCATATTATATTATCTAAAAATATTTTTTAAAAATAATATATATATATATATATATATATATATATATATATAGATAGATAGATAGATAGAGACAGACACACACTGAGGTCAACACTGAGAGGCAACAGTTTGTTTCATGCTTGAACACAATCTTCAGACCATGTGTGTTGTGTTTTGGCTTGACTATACAGTATGTTAGTCAATGGTGTATTATGGGTAGCAAGGTCTATTGTATTATCCTAACGGCTATTGGGTTGGTAGTAATGGTTATATTTCAAAATATCCTAAAGGCTATTGAGTAGAAATAGCCGTGGATATGCATACACTATTTTATAGTGTTTGTTACTTTTTTTTACTCATTATTTATTATTAATTACTTTATTATTTGTTGTTGATTATTATTATTAAATTTGTGTTTATGTGCGTATTTGTAGTTTGTAATTTGTTTATTATTTACTTAATTTGTTTATTCATTTACTTAGATTTGTTATTTAATTTCTTTTTTTCTCAGGGTTGGTTATCTTATTTGCTTAGTTTAAAGTATTAGCTTTGTTTAAAGTATGTTACATTATCTATATTGTAGCTAGTGCAAATATTTACATAATGGAATTTTACAAGGTATTCATTTTTATTTTTAAGTAATGTCGTAAAATGTTTGTCATGTTTGCATTTTGAGGTAAGTTCTGATTGTTTATTCAGTAATTTGTGTTGGCCAGGGAAGGTGAATATAGCTACTTTCTCCTCCAGACAGAGCTTAAAGAAGAGAAGAGGTCTAAATATTTTTTGGTTGTAATTGTTTATTTAGAAAAAATATTATTTTGTTTTACATAATTTTACGACACGTGTTTCTGGTCTCAGGGTAAAAGTGGAGATTTCCACATATTATTAAAAATAATCAATTTTTTTCCTCATGTTCAATGAAATATTCTCGATATGAGACATTTTCTGTTTGTGTGTTGGTAATCCGAATTTCCTTCTTGGATTGGCAATGAAGAGTTCTCTGCCAAGGGTCATAAAAACAATTAAGGTTGGTCCAGCGAAATGATAAATTAGTTATCGGCATTTTATCTTTTAATGTTTTACTGACCCCCTATGTGCTCTTGTGTGTGTGTGTGTGTGTGTGTGTACTGATTACTTGTGGTGGGATAGTGTGTATGTGCATATGTGTGTGTATGCGTGTATAGGTACAAATAAGTTTACGAATTCCTCGTAGTAAGACAGTATATGTATGGAGGGGAAATATAGCACGCATATATACACGCATGCTGACAGAAACGCACCAAAATGGAAACAGATCCAAGAGCACATAGGGGTCAGTAAAACATTAAAAGATAAAATACCGATAACTAATTTATCATTTCGCTGGACCAACCTTAATTGTTTTATGACCCTTCACAAGAGAACTCTTCATTGCCAATCCAAGAAGGAAATTGATTACCAACACAAAAAACAGAAAATGTCTCATATCGAGAATATTTAACATTGAACATGAGGAAAATTGATTATTTTTTTTAATATGTGGAAATTCCACTTTTACCTGAAGACAGTCGCGAGACCAGAAACACGGTCGAAAATTATGTAAAAAACAAAGCATAATATTTTTTCTAAATAAATCCACATTACAACCAAAAAACGTTTTATATAATATACATACTTATCTCTCGTTGGAACCACTACATTTCTTTTATATATATATATATATATATATATGGTGTGGACATACAAATCAACACTTCACGGTAGCTGTCAATTTCACATCTCAAGCAATCTTTAGACTTAATCTAATGATCACTTGAGATATCAACCTGACAGTACTATACAGTGTTGATTTTTATGTCCATGCTGTCTATCTACAAATGTTTAAAATTTTCTATATTTATAAAAGATAATGAGCCCTCTTCTCCTATAAATATAGCAAATTTTAAACAATATATATGAACTCCCTTAATGAATAACAGAACCTATACTGATTATACAAAAAAACTGAATGTATTCTTAAATTTCACATCTCTCAATTCAGACTACTTAGATGTATGGCTGAAACAGTTAAAATTGCATGTGTTTAGAAAAGGTTAAACCAAGGAGGCTAGTTTAGCTACAGTTTTCAATTCCACTTTTGCATAATCTCCAATCATCTATCTCACAATCTATCGAAGTATACACTCAACACTGAAAATGTTGGGAAAATAATTCTATTTATAGCATTGGAACATTTTTCTGAATAACAAAGTGAATGAATTGTTTGTAAAAAGTGAGAAGGAAGTAAATTAGCAATGTAAATAAATACATAAAGATAAACTTTTTTTTTTAAAATTAAATTTCAAAGTAAGGATTCTAAAAGATTATCAAAGTAATTGTATTCTTTATATGAAATAGAAAAAAGGAAAGAAGAAAATAGAAAAGAAAAAGAGAAATGTGAAAGGAAAAAGAAAAACTAATTTGATGACTGAAATAGATTGACACTTATTTGAACATTCTATAATCCTCTCTTTATATTCAAGTCAATTACCTTTAAAAGACACTGAAGACAATTGTACCTAGAGTCTGTAAATTCAAAAAAATTTAATCTAAAATTATTTATACTAATTGGTGGAAAAATTTTCCTACTAGAAACTTTTAAATAATAATTTGAATTTTATCATATGGTAAGAAGATAATACTATTTCTTGTTTGAAGTTGGTGAGGTTTAAGTAGGAGAAACCTCAATTTATTAGAATAATTTTACTTCTAGTTTGCAGAAATTATGAATGTCAGTAACTTGTCTATTCACTTAAGGACTTTTGGTTTCTATGTTTTGGATAAGAGTGATTTTCTATCCAGTTTTTATAAAATTGATTCAAGTGAATGAGTTGGATAAATTTAGTCCTACGGATTTGTTTCAGCAGTTTGTCTACTGAATTTTTATTGAATTTATTTTGTATTTATGATGACTACTTTGGGGCAGGAAATTGGTATTTTGTATACAGAATCTAAACTAACATAAAGGAAATTAACTTTGAAATCAAAAAATCTTTGACATCAGACTTATCTATAAATTACTAAAGCAACCTGCTACAATAGAAATGGGTATTGTTAAATGATTTCATGATTAATCTATATAATAAATGTGAATGTCAGTGTGTCACACTTTACTCCTAGAGGCCATAGTCCAACATATACCATTTTGGAATCAGGCCAACTCCATGAACAAATTAAAAACATTCTGAGCCAGGTCCGGACCAGCAATACTGAAATTTTGGATTCCAAAGTTTTCATTACTGCGATTGTTTTCGGATTCTGCCATCTTCGCTTCTACTGATACAAACAATTAAAGGGACACAACTCTAACTTTACATAGCTCATGTTCAAATGAAAAAGAATTACTGTTCACAAATTACAGTGTTTCAAAATAAAATTGTCTGTATTTTCAACTATACTCCTAGAGATCGTAGCCCAACATATTAGACCATTTTGGAATCATGCCGACTATGAGCAAATTAAAAACATTCCGGGCTGGATCTGAATCCACAATACTGAAATTTTGGATTCACAAGTTTTTATTACTGTGATTGTGTTTGGCAGTTTTTTGTGACAAATTTTTTTGTGTGATAATAATTTTATAACTTGGAAATAAATTTAGGAATAATTTATATTAATTGTAAAATCCAGTGAAAGTCACCCATGAAATAAAAATAATTGTCTGTACAGATAGTAAGGCTCTATGTACATCAAATTGTTTTTAAATTAAGTGGTGGCAGAATAATTATCATTGAACTTTTAAAAGGTAAGCTTAAATATTAATGCAATACTTAAATGTAATGATCAATTTTGAGTTCTGTAGTTTATTGTTGCCTATTGCATCTACTTCACCGCTAACTATTGTGATGAAGGCCCAACCACAGGAGCTAGCTTAAGTCAATAAATCATTAACTTTATGCTTCTTTTTAAACACTTTGATAGGTAAAGACTTAAATGACATGAAATTAATTTAAAAGCACCTTTAGTAAAACTGTTGTTATAATGATTATCATAGAATTATGCTAATTTAGTTATTTTATCATGTACCCTTTGTAGGTTGTTTTATAGGCAATCTTAAATATTTATTAAATAAAACTTTAATTTATGGATTTATGTTTATATAGATTAACAGTTCAAGTACACAACATACAAACAAACAAACAAACAAATAGACAATTGATGAGAGACAAGTAAACTGAACAACAGTATACAAGGAAGAGATGCAATGAAAAAAATTATCCAAATACCTAAACAAAAAAAAAAAGAAAAAAAAAGTATATTAAAGCAGAAACAGGCAAAACATTACGGCTCTTGTTTCATTTTTTTTTTCTTTTTCTTCTTTTGGTGGGAATGGTAAGCCTGTTAGTTCCAAGGACAACAGTTAGCGTGCACACACCTGGATAATTAGGTATCCTAGTTAAAGACCTACATGCTCTGATATCACCATCATCCCAGGCTCTTCGCGGTCGATCTAAGAAACGAGAGGGAGCTGCAAAAAAAGAAAAGATTATTTTATAATATACATCAAATAAGCCAGAAGTTTTGAATGATCTGCTGAACAATAAAACTGAAGTTTTATATTAGGGATTCATAATAATGATTATATACCACTGACCTATGACCACCAACAAGGTATTAGAAAACTGGCATAAAAATGTTAATTGTTAATCAATTCAATAAATTACTCATTTGCAATACATCCATTTTTCAGTACAATGTTTGCTAACATATTGTACAATAGTAAACAAGTTTCTTTAGGGCTTAATCTTAGATGGCAGATACTTGATTAAGCAATAAATCAAAAGAAGGAAATATTCAAATATTGCAATTTTGCCAAAATTTAAACTGAAAAAAAAAAAAAAACAAAACAAAAAAAAACAAAGAATATATGCTTAAATTAAAGCCTTGACAAAAATGCTTGCAACGATACCCTAGCATTTTTATTTTGGACAGAATAACATGTCTTTCCTTTTTAGCTATATACAAAGAGGTGCTGAAAAGTTCTTGGACCATGCAAGAATGAATTCCAAAATAAATGAATCATTTGACAAATGAACTGAATCAAAAACTTTTCAGCACTACCTTGTAAGATAAAACATTTGTTAGAGAGTTAAAAATGTCAAAGCTGATTTTTGTAGTTAATTTGCATTTTTTCTGGCAATTCAACAATGTGAAAGCAAAAGATTCTACTGCAAAATAGTTTTATACACAAAAATGAAAATATGAGTGTGTTTGACACTAATATTTTTAATATGTTATTTTCATAATGTTTCACTTTAATAATCATTTAATTGTTGCAGAAAAACAAATTTAAAATTCAAAACTGAAAATACAGAATGTACTATACTAAAACATTATTTTCTAAATATGAAAATGAAAACAGTAAAAATATTCGAATATCAATTATCTAATTTCAGTAAATGAAGAAATAAATAACAATTTGAAAAAATAAAAACAGACTCCACAAGAGTAACTTACATGCAAACATTGGAGACTGATATCTCGTACTAAACTTGGGTTCGTATTTTGCTGATGGAGCTCTCGAAGCCTTCCATGGATCAAGGGCGGGAGGGGGTAAAGATTTGCGCTCGGATAACTCTTTATAAATCACACTGCCTAAGCCGGAACAATCTTTCAATTTTGACATTTCTTCCATTTCTTTCTTAATCTGCAGGTCTTCTCGGGGACTTTCATCCTCATCATCCATATCTTCTCCTTTGCTTTTTCGTCTCTGTCGCACTGGAGATGAGAAGAGACATACAACAATAGATATTTACATCAAATATTTGGTGATTTTTTTTCTTCTTATATTAATGACATATATTGATACAGATACTTAATAAGCTTTTTATATTCCAATGCAACAACATTTGTATATAATCTGTTAAGTTTAGAATAAAATTTTTATTAAGTCTACATTCTTACATTTTTTAATTAGAATAAAAATATGGTTTTATGGGTTAATGTCAACGACTTTGTATCATCATTCATTTATATATATATATATATATATATATATATATATATATATATATATATATATATATATATATATATTTAAAATATTTGTATCTATAAAAAGAATGTATAAACATAAAAATGTCTTAAAATAATTGTCGGACATTGTCCATTTCATAATGTGTGACGTCATTTGTTTACATTTGATACGCCATGAGCAGATATGAATGTACATGAGAGATTCATGGAAGATTGAAGTTTAAATACAGTAAATTCGACCTTGCTAACAGAACGCTCCTCTGTGGACAAATCGGTAAAGGCTCATCAAGCTAAATAACGGTTCTGTATAGGATACAGGTTCGAATCCTGTTGGAGGACGAATATTTTCTGTGAAAATTTCTTGGACATTCAGGCCAGTAAATGTTGTTTAATATTGTTTATTATAAACAGAGCATTTACTTAAATATTTGTATCTATAAAAAGAATGTATAAATATAAAATGTCTTAAAATAATTGCGGACTTTGTCTATTTCATAATATATATATATATATATATATATATATATATATATATATATATATATATATAGATATTTAGTGGAAAATATACATACATATGAAAAATATATCTAAAAATTCCCATACATGTATATTTTCAGAAAAAATTTTCCAAGAGGAAGGATCCAGGTAGAACTCAATGTCTAGGACAGAGTAAGGATATAATAAAAAGGCTTAAACACTAATATTCCATGGTATATATATATATATATATATATATATATATATATATATATATGCAAAAATGATCATCTTCAAATGAACTCTTCTGACCACTTCTTCCCAATCATTTCTATCCAGTTGTTCCTTCCAATTCTGGTGCTATCTATATGTTGATCAATAAGTTTTTGCTGGCCTATCCCTTGATCTTTTCCCATAATAATAGTATCATTTGATATGTGTGTGTGTGTGTGTGTGTGTGTGTATATATATATATATATATATATATATATATATATATATATATATATATATTAGTTGGCACCACTTGTGTCCATGTTTGGCTCATCCAATGCCTCCATAATGCTTGAACCTGATTAACTTAAGAGGCCAAGTCTGGAATGGAACAGTCTTGGGCATTGGTTGCATGATAGGGCAGGTCTTGGCTAGAGCTGACAGGCCCTGTGTTGCCAACTTTTTACTTCTTCAGTCTTTCTCCTCTCCTTAAAAGTGGAACAACATAAATAAATTGCTCTTTGCCAGGATGGACAGTCAGCAGCTTCAGTTTATATATAGTATAAGCCGATGCACAACTTTTTGTTTACTTCTCCAGCAATATCCACTAATCTGGACTTGCCGTTCACAGATTGTTTGTCCATAATCTTTGGTAGGTTCTCATATAGTTCTTTATTGAGAATATGTTGTTTCCAGCTTATATTTACGGATAGTCTCAGTAGCTGAGTGTATGCAACATCTAGATTTTCTTTTTTGCCAGTGATTTTGACTCGTATAAAAGGATTGTTTCTGTAGTTGACTTATTGTACTTTCAGACATTTTTCATTTACACACACACACACACACACACACACACACACACACACACAGGAGAAGGTGCTGAAAAGTTCTTCATGCACTTCCAAAATGACCAAACATCAGCATTATTTTTGGGATCCTTTCTTAGTCAAGCCAAAATCCCATTACAGTTGTAGGGACACAACATGTACTGCAGCAGTTGTGTGTTTTGGGCAAGATAGCTTGACAGATCCCAATCCTCTCCAGGTTGGCTGGAATTCAGTTTTCCTTCCTCTAGACTGGTTGTCAGCCTAGGCTATAGGGCACAGTCTGTCCTGTTATGGACCCTTAATCAGAGTGGAGTGAGATCATTGAAGAAATAGATTCATATCTTTCTCCAAGGATATTTGTGTGTAAGTGAATATAGCAAACTGAATTGGAATTTGAACTTGACTCTCCAATTTCTCATTTCAAGCCACTATTCATTACACTGACATACATCTACATGAATTTTCAGCCTCCACCACCAATATACAGGTGATGCATATTTACAATATTTTGCATATAAAATCTTCTTACTTGAGCATGCAAATATGAATACTACATTTTTTTTGACTCCATTTATCTCCTGAACTTTTCCATTTTATCTGATCATTTCTCATTTCAATTCCAATCATTTCTCTCTCTGAATCACATTGCTGCCAAATCAGATTCTGTCAATTCTTACAACAAACAAACAAAAACAGATTTTCATAATTGTTTAAAGTACATATCATAAGAGTATTTGTACCAAGAGAAAAGAAAAGTATATATAAAAAAATAGGTGCAGAAAAATATTATAACTAGAAATAAAAGATTAGGACTCCACACCAAAGATTTTATAAATTTCAACTGACAGTAGTACAAGCTGCTCATTAATTGAAGGAAATGCCTAACATTTCCATTACTATAAAAACACACACATATTATATATTTTTACATAGACCCACAAAATAGTGAATATCAAAACAAATACCCTCCAGTTATTTTTTGTACTAATGCCAATAAACGACATATTACTCAGTCTCCCCTATCCTTCCTTCCATTTTCAAAAGATATGTTTAGCTTAAATGCAAACACTATACTTTTTCTTTTTAAAATCAATAGTTCTTTTATATGATGTGTACCTTAAGGACATGGGCAATCATGGCACTCCACAACTTCCTGTTCCTTGTAACTCTTATTGCTTCTTTTTTTTTTACTATCCTTCCCTTTCAGTTTACACAAGCTTGTTAGATAGGTTACTCTTTCTGTTCCTCATGTTTTCAGTATGTCATATGAGTGTTAAACTATCCAAGCCCTCTTTACTTATTGTGCGTCCCAAAAATTTCAACTGTCTCTTTCTGATTTTAAGTGTAAGTGTCCTTTTTGTTTCTATTTTTCTTAAAACTTCCTATTTGCTCCCATGCACTATCCATGGTCTTCTCAGCATTCCTTCGTTGCCTCAAGTTTCTTCTTCCGCTGTGTGGAAACTATCCAGTATTTACTGCAATATAGGAGGATTGATATTTTATAGCAGTTTAGCACTTTTTTCTGTTTCTAATAAAATTTTTCTGTTTCTTAATACTTTAGTTAGCTTTTTGAAGGCATTTTTTGCTATTTCAATGTGCCTTAGGATTTTTATGCCACATTTTCTGTCATCTGTTAAAGCACTTCTCAGATGACTAAATTTCCATACCTGCTTGATTTTGACATCTCACATTTTGGGCTATTCTTCTTGCTGACAACTATACAGTCCATCTTCTTATGATTGATGTTTAGTCTTTTCTTTTTGGGTTTTCTTTACTATCTTAGCTTGGATTCCCTCAGGATGTTAAGAGTGTGCACACCAATAAGACATTTTGGTAGGTTTAACTTAGAAAACATATTTTGAGATTTAAAAAGATGCCACTTTTGAAATTAGATGTTACCTGGGCTATTTTAGTAAAATACAGATCTCTAGAATAACATAGATTCAATGTTTATTTGGTTACATATTTATGGGAATTTCATTTTGAAAGGAAAATTGCAAAATCAATAGTAAAATTATTTAGAAAAACAACTCCTGGAGATAAACAAATGCCATTACATTAACAAGAGAAGACTATAACAATGATTTTGGTGTATTTTATTATTGTACTTGTTTAAGAACTGATACTTTTTTTTAACACTAAAGTTCACCAAATACAAGGCTCAAGTGTCACTCATGCTAAAGGATTACTAAATTAGATGTGTAATAGGAGGTAGAAGGAAATGAAGATTATGATGATAAATAGGATAGATAATGATTAACCCTTGACTTGAAGAGGTTAACATTGCAGCATTCAGTGAAGTATCCAGGTGGGAGTCTGATCCACAAAGTAGCAGTTCTTGGGAAAAGCTGTTTATGTGGAACATCCTACTTACAGTTGGAATACAGAGGAAATATAGGTGATTTAATTCCGTAGATATAGCAAAGTGAGGCCTAGCTCTAAAGGTCTGAAATGGTGGAATCTTAAATGTTATCTTATCAAAATATCTGAATCAATTTTTAATTTTTTATGTTAATCTTTTGTGCAGAAATACAAAAAACACTAATAATGTTTGTGAAATGACATCCAAAGGGGTGAACAAAGTTGTGTGCATGAGTATGTATATGTGTGAGAGGGAGAGAGAGAGAAGTAGAGAGTACTCACTAATCTCTGGCAGAATTGCTGCTAGTGATGGTGGTCCCGGCCAATCTTCTCGTTCAATTTTCACTAACTCATTAGGCAAAGGAGGTTTGCCTGAAGGAAACATACTCATCCTCACAGCTTCATCATTTTTCAAATCAACAGGAGATGCACTCCGCCTGACTTTCACAGTCTTACTTGTTGCTGCAATAAATGAACAGACATTTAGTTGCAACATGGAAACAAAATTCATCACAATAATCAAGAAGAAAGAAAAATAGTAAATTTATATAGAGTTGTGTATTTGGTAGAAATTTAGAAAAATTGAATAAAAAAAGTAACAAATTTATTAAAAGCAAAAGATTTTAAAAAGGTTTTTTCATGTTTCTGCTTTCAACCATCCAGTAGAAAAGCATTTAAGCATATTTTTTTAAATATTCATAGGAAACAAAAAGGATCTAGCATTTCAATAGTTACATCAATATTTAAGGATTTTATTTAGATTTGTATCATGTTGCTAAAATAATCAATTTTAAAAAATACTTTTTCAAAGTATAGCATCACTTGAAATAATGGCTTTTGATCAACTGGCTTTAAAAATATGATAATTACTTTTCAAAAACTTAATTTTAATGTGCAACTCTTCCCTAAATATGAAGCTAAGAAGTGCATTACACCAGAAGAGTTTTACCAATTGTAGAGGTCAATACTTTATTGAAATTAGTAAGGAGATAGAGAAAAAAGTTACTATCCAATAAACTTGTTTGTAGGTAAATTATATTAAGAATGAAATCTGAAAATCTTGATTTATGTACATTTTTCAGCATGAAACAAATTTTCATATTTCATTTGTTAATTTAATTTTATTCATTGAAAACAAGCTTTTCATTTTAGGAATTAACTTTTATTCTGTAAGTTTTTAAATTATCTGATATAACCCCACTAAAGAAATTATCTTACAAGTAGGTCAAAACATTTTTGCTCAAATGATTTAAAATTAATTATTTATAAATAAATCTATTTTCTTAATTAAGAATAAAAGTAAAATTCAAGCATTTTATTTTCAGCAGTTAGAAACAACAGGAATCATAAAGTATTCCTTCTTGAATTGTATTTAAATTTTTTTTATATATGGTATACATACATACTTTAAAAGTAGCAGAAAATTATTTACAATATATTTTATATGTAAACAAATTTTCTTTCAATTCTTATTGTGCAAGAAATTAGTAGCCAATGACAGAAATATGCTAAAGAGCTTTATAAAATTTAATTTTTGAACAAAATTATGAACATGTATGTTGCAAAAATACAAGTAAAACATTACAATTCTTAGTAACTATAAAAGATAAAATATAAGGATTATTGACAAAACCCAGAAATGAAAACTTGATTATTGCCAAAATAATTTGTCAGCTTCTCAAAGTTAGAGACAAAATGTTTCTTTCTGGTATGTAGCTATTTTTAAAGTATTTTTCAATGTGATTATTTTAATTAATTTATTCCTATTTTTTTCCAAATCAGTAATTCCTTTTAATAATCATATCAATCAGCTTTATTTCTGTTTTGATTATTTTAAATGTAGAATTATTTCTGTTACTTTTATATTTTCATTGATTAATTTTTAAATGTAAGACATTTTCAAGAAAAAAAAGTTACACTGAGACAATATTTACCGGTCTTTACAGACTGTGTCTGAATATTATGTCTAAAACATTATTGCTGTCATTATATATAAAAGGAAGTTTAGCAAATCTTTCAAAGTGTTCAAGTGTTTAAATTAGGCCTGACAACTATAAGTTTCAAACAATTAGTATAAAGTTTAAATTTTTAAAAATTTAAGCCCATATATAATAAAACAGGAGACAAAGGCCCATTTTTATGTGTAAGGTTATACAAACCAGTTTAATTTTGAGGAATGTGACAAAGTAAATTTAACTATAAATGAATGAAAAGATCATATTTATTTATATGCCATTTGATCAATTAAGCATTAAATCAAGTAGTTACATGTTAAAAATAATTTAAATGTTAGCTTATAGAATGATTTACTGAGATTAAAGAAAATCTATGTGACAAATAACACAAAACAATTTCACAGCACAGTTCACAAGAGGTACTGAAAAGGTCAGATGGTTGAGGAAGGATGTGAACAATATTTCAAGAACTATGTTAAAGCCGATTTTGTTTTTGTTTTTAAATAGGTTGAATTTTTTAAAATATTTTTAACTGGCATTCAGCTGGATAAGTTTGAAATAGAATAATAAAAGAATGAATGAAATAAATAATAGGAGAACAGACAGAAAAAAAGGAAGATAAAGAAACAAAATAGAAACTGATGGATATATATATATATATATATATATATATATATATATATATATATATATATAATAATAGAGACATGAAGGGTTTAGCAAAGAGAAACAAACATAATATTGATGGAGCTATAAAAAGAGGAGAAAGAATTTTTAAAAAATCTTAGAAAAATAAATAATTTATTGTGGCATTCAACTTAACAACAGCAATGTCTTTTGCTAAATGGCTGATTGCTAAGTTATATTGTGATTTTATAAAAGATGTTCAGATTTAAGTGGAATGAGAGAGAGAGAGAGAGATCCTTTAATATTGGTAAGTGTAATTGCAAAAAAAAAAGGTACAGTTACTGTCAGAGTGAAAAGAACTTTCTAAAGCAAGAAATCCAAAGCTAAATATACCAAAAAAGACTACATAGATACACAAAGACAAATTATTTTATTTAGTATAAATAATACTTTGGTTTATTAATTATTATTTATATGATCCTTAACAAAAAAAGTAATTCAATTTTAAATTTGAATAAATAAATGTGTATCTTAAATTTAGCATAGATGAATGACAGATGACAAAAGTGAGAAAACCTACCCCAAAGAATGAACGAACAAAGCAAAAGATGTTCATGTGAGAATCAGGTATCAAAGGCCTTTTGGATCATGGGAAATAAATTACTGGTGAAAAAAGCAATCTTGAGAGCAGAGCACAGCATGATAGTATGATGGTTGCTGGGTACAAATTTTAAACCCAACAGTAACAGGTTTTGTGAAATTGAGATGAACAAACATATGTATGCAGTATTTCCTTTTTAATATCATAGAAAAGATAGGAGACAACATATTCAGATACTTTATCAAAATATATGGAAAACTCTTCAACACATTAGTTCCAAGTGTTGTACTAGTAAAATCAAAAAAAGGAAAGAAAAAAGAATTCTATTGATTTTGAGACTTGTCTTAATTTAAATCTTTGTAATTTTTTTAGTTAGTCTGATGAGATCTTAGGAATGAGGTCAGACAATCAAGAAAAAATGTTAGTCAGGATATCAGCATATTAGTAAACCAAGATTTTTAATAGATACAAAATATTTAGAGCAATGTTTCTTTATGTTCTTAAACCTTGTCTTGTGAATATGCAAGACACATGCATATAAATTCATATGCTTATCTATGTATTTGGGTAATGGCATCCATAGTTTTTACTTGGAGAGTTAACTTTTTCTATGTATCTTGAAATATTTGTATGTCTTTATACAATATGTAATTTGCAGCTGAATTAAACTCTTTCTTCTTGTGAGACCCCAACTCTAAACATGTCTCTTAAACCACTGAAATAAAACCCATAGAGCCATTCACAGTTGATGGTTACCGAGCAAAGTTGATGTATGGATGTATTGATTGATTTGTTTTTTTATGGCTTATCAACACTTTGTAGGTTATTTAAAGCTGAAACATATTTTGGACTGTAAGAATAATTCTTTTTGCAAGTGAATATTCCATTGACAATTTTTTGAAATTAACAATTTTTCCAGATATAAGACTTAATATTTAACCCATAGCTGGGAGGAAGATAGATTGTATAGACATAAGAGGTGAAAGTGCATATTATAAGGATATGTAGCGTAGATAAGAGTCAACCATAGACATGAAAAGGTTAAGATTGTAGTGATTGGGGAAGCATCCTGAAATAATACACAGACATTAAATTTTTTAATATTCCAAAATACATATAAAATGTTTTTGTCCCAAGCAAAAAACTACATGCACTGCTTCTCAAATTTGTATGTATATATATATATATATATATATATATATATATATATATATATATATATATGTGTGTGTGTGTGTTTATGTATTTATATGTGTCTATACATATATATGTAGGCATGTAGACATTAAATAGACATGCATAGAAAGGTGAAGAAAGGGAAAGACAATAAGAAGACAATAAATTCACAATACACATAAAAGATAATTCAATAAAAAAGATTCATACAAGTCGCATAATTACCTAACTGCATCATTCCACCTGAAAGAAAAAAAAAAAATACTTAGTAAAAAAAAAAAAACAACAAATCTTAAATTCCATAAAATATTTTATATTGTGAAAAGGTTTTTATCATAGTTTCTGAAACATTTGGAGTTTTACCATTGAATACACATTCCAAGTAACCACAATAATTAAAATAAATAAAAACAATTCTATTGAATTAGTCTCTCGAGTCAAGAAAAATAATTGAGGCGATTTATGAGAAAACATACATTAAACCAATGACTATTAGTGCATAGCGAGGTTTTGTTTAAAAGCACATTTCTTGAGTGCATTGTGTGTAATTGTCTTGGGATCTAATGCATGTTTTTGCTTGCAGCTGTTAACTGGCCAAATTGTGACTAAATTTTTAGGCTTAATTTTCAATAATGAGTCAATCCAAAATGTTTCTGTATAATTGTCTTTTACAATGTCAAAAATCCAAAATAGGTTATCAGAATTTAAAAAAAATACTTTTTCACAATATACCATAACAAAGATAAACTACTAAAAACAATCAGTGCTCTCACGCACACACACACACACACACACACACACACAAAATCATTAACATGTAAAATTAAAGACATGACATTGAGTTAATACTAAAACAAATTACACAAGCAGTTTCCAAAATACAATCTGTTTTATCAAGCAGGGAGTTAGTTGCAAGTGAAAGACCAGTTGTTATTTCTACAAGCTGAGAGAAAGAGAGAGAGAGAGAGAGAGAGAGAGAGACATTTGAATTCTCTATGATTGGGACCTTCTTCACATACTGATCAGTTTTGTGCTAAAAAAAAAAAAAAAAAAACAAAAAAAAAAAAAAACACACACACACACAAACAAAAAAAATAAACACATGCTCACAAATTTTACATCCAGGTATAACCACTTTCAGAGTCACATTTTAAACTTTTATGACTACTCTTGCATCCAGAATAGATGGGGCTACCTGGCTATTTAAATTTTTGATCTTATTACAACCTATCCACTCTTATTCCAGAGTGCACATTTATTTTATTTTATTTTCCACTTTTTTCTTTACTTGCCCATTTATTCCAACCCTCCCTCTTGTTTTTGTTCCAAAAACAAAACAATTTTGAATGAATTTTCCAAGCTACCCTCTATTCTGGACTTAAGAATAGAATTTCATTTCAGAGTAAAGAAAACATCTTTGCTAATCTTTTGAAAATGTATTGGCAGTGAACATAGACAACTACTGCATCTGAGTATCTTTTCAGCCATGTAGATATCTATTTCTGTCATGTGATGATAAATATTTACTTTTTTTTTTTTTACATGAATATATTCGGAATGAAATTCTTTGGCATTTCATGTAAATCTTGACAAAATATCCAAAGCATTAATACATAACAGTCAAATCCAATTATTTATTCCTACCATAAGCATTAATTCCTTCAGATTTATTGATGTTTTTAAGCATTAAATTTCTAAAGCCAAGCTTGAAGTGAGATTCTTTTAATGTTATAAAGTTGATTTCCTTATTTTTTAATAAGTTTTTATTTTTTTATTCATGACATTCATTACTTACATACAATTTTACTAAGCGGAAATCTAAAACAAAAAGATCTTTTAAATTCTATTAGGTTGATGCAAAAGTTCCTAGCATTATCTTTTATACAATGTTAGGGAAATCTTAGAAGTGCCTTTTAATTTTGCTCTGCTTTTTATTGCTTGTACAAGCATACACTTTAAAAAGTGTTTGAGATAAAGTAATGTATTCCTATCTTAACTGTGTTGAATCAGTGTCAATTGTTTAGAAGGCAATTTTTAGAACAAGTACAACTGAGAAGTCACCTCCTCCCAGCAAAAAAAAGATAATGCACACACATGAAACCTTAGATTTAACCCGTCTCCTTCCGACAATGAAACAACATGGTAAACATGGTACAGAGAAAAGTATTTATTTATTCTTTGTGTTGACTGAAAGAGACCCTCCTACCACTAACCATTTCAAAAAAAAAAAAAAAAGACATGAAATTATAGTATAGTAAGCAGTAAGAAGGTGCATGAAATTACAATCATATCCCCAGGTGACTATCACTCTCCTTATCTCTCTGGGCTGCTCTGCCCTCACCCCCATATAGTATTCCCCTTTCTCCTATCAGTCTTAATTTTGGCTTACTATTGTTCAGAAACCACAATAAGACAGTCACCAGCATCATTATTCCATGGTTGAATATGAAATGCACTTTCTATGCTATTTACTTTTTATGTTTAATCTTGGGAAAAGTGCATCTGAAACTAGGAAATAGATCACCGATGGTAGTTCTTTTTACATGATATATTCATCATTAAAATTCAATTAATTGCTCTGATACCAGCAGTATCTTATTTAGTATTTTCTGGTAAGTAATTATATAGCATATTTTTGATAAGTAAACATAGCATAAAGATGCTGTAACTAAAAGCTGGGAATAGTTTCTAAAATTTAAAAGAAAGTAAGATTTTGACCTCAAGGATATTTGAAACATTTGAAAAACTGAAGAACTTGAAAATTGGTGAATTGGAGGATTTTTTTAAAGTAATATGTGACACAAACATGAATTTATCGAAATTTAGAAGTAAATCAGTTAACTGGAATGTATCATTTACAAATCCTGGGAAATATTCAGAAGCTTGTTGATAGTGATTAGCAGTCCGTTTTTTCATGGATTGTTAAATGAATTACATCCAATGTTAAGGTTGACTTATAAGAAGGAGAACAATGCATATATTAGTTATGACAATATGATGTATAGACAAATAGATGAGATTTTGATGGGTAGTCCTTTGTGATGGCTAACATTTTCGCTGGATTCTATAAGCAGGATCTGCTTGCTTGTATTAAAAATCCTCAGCGTTATTTTCAATAGGCTGAAGACATTTTGTGTGTTTGATAGTGACTAGTGGGTTGAAGTTTTTCCTGGATTAAAAAATTTGGTTAAAAAAAAAATAAAACTGTTGGAAGATTTTGCACCAACCTAATATTAGATTTTTTTTATACTTGGCAAGACAACTCAGGTTTTGTGTGTATTTTATGCATGTGTTAGAAGTGGGCCTAAATAGGCATTTATGTCTATAAAGATTTGCATAATTTATTGGATATCCAAAGATGTGGTCTTTAGTTAGTCTGAAATTCTTAAATAATAGTCAACTGCCTTAAAAATTATAGTAGAATTAATTGAAGCATTTCAAAACTTCATGTAATTCAATTAGCTTTAATATTAAAATTCATTTTTTATATTTTCAAGCACACATGCATGGAAATAGGGGAGAAAGATAAAATAGTTGAAAAGGTTTATCTATCACTATCAAATTAATTATAGTCAGGATCATAGTGTCATTGTGAACACCAGGATCCTTTTGTTGGCTGCAAAGTATGTGCTTAGCCATGGCTACTTTTCAGGTTTTTGAAATCAGTGACAGCTGAAGAGCCGAATCTACTCTGATAATTAGCCCAAAGATGGGGGGGGGGAGAGAGAGAGAAAAGATAGATTCATACCTTCCCCAAGAGTATTTGCATAAAAGTGAATGTAACAAACTTGACCAGAATTTGAACTTGGCTTGCTAATTTCTCATTCCAAGTCACTAACCATTCCACCACTGGCACATCAATGGAATGGTTTATACATAAGATTAATAATGTAAATTTTATATTTAATCTATGAACAAGCAGCAAATTTACAAGCAGCTTGATTTTACATTAATGCCAACATCAAATATATAAGTGAATGCCAAATAAGTTAAGAACTCGTGAGATTTAAACCCCACAAGCAGAACACAGACTGGGCAGTAATTATCTCTGGATAATGCCTTCACATTTCAAGCATGGTGGACCACACAGATTAATATTCTATTTGGCAATAGAAATTACACACTTGCAGCATGATTACAGGTGAAACTATAACTTTTATGAAGTCAGTTTCTGTCAAGAAACTACAGTGGTTCTTATTCTAGGACATATTCTTCATAGATTGATAATTAGAGGTGAATTATTTGCTCTGATATTACCAGTATTTTATTTAGTGTTTTAATGTCAGTAGTTACATAATACTGTTTTAGCATTCCACCCTGCCCTCACAGTTAAATGATTTTCTCTTTCCTCCAGAGAAGTGTAAAATGAAAAAGCAAAACAGTAATTAAACAGTATTCTTTTATTTTTTTTTTAATGGTGTAGCTCATTTATTTGCATTACTTCTACTTATTGAATATCTGACTATTTGGATCACTGATAAAATCATAAATGGAAACTAAGAATCTGAACCAAAATGTTTCTTTATTCTGTAGCATTATTTGTTTCTACATTAATTCTTAATATCACTCAAGACATTAGGCATAATTACTCAAAGAACCACTAAGAACTCAAACATATTTTTATTTATTACTCTTCGTACATTCACAACCTACAACTGGTAATTTCATTTTGTTTAAAATCAGTTATTTACTGTTATTTCAACTCTCCCTTTAAAAAAATATAAATATTTATAATAAGCAGCCAAAGATCTTGGTAAGTCATTAGCGGTAACTCTCCCATTAAGTTAAACTACAAATGACAGTATCTAAATATAACACGCATTTATCCAGCTTTCATGCATACAGTTATGAATAGAGAAAGAAACACAGTCAGACTTTAACAGACAGACAGTAATAATATAGGTAAAATAATACAGACAGTCTTTGAGATTCTATTGCAGAAAAAACTCCTCATTAGGGTCAGCAGAAGAAAAAGGAAAAAAAAAAAAAAAAGGAAAAGGAAAAAAAAAAAAAAAGTGGAAAAGTTGTCCAGTGCTGATCAGCTGACTGCTTCCATCTAAGCGTGACTGAAACAAAAGCTTTTTCTTTCTTGGCTTTAATTCATTTCTAAACACAAACCTTGTTTTGATCGCAGGAAAGCTGGTGGTTCCTTTGAATAAGAGAAATTATCTGGAAAACAAAACAGAAAGAAAACATGATTGAAAATCATACCAAAGTGGCTCAAGATGAGTGCCCATTGGTGGAAGCAAAAGCAGAAATGTGGAGCTGTGCATTTAGCTCAATGGCCACAAGGGATATGTATAAAAGTCATCAAGTGCTGGCAGCAAATTGAATCAAAGAAGATATACAGGGACAATTACATTTTAAGTACCAGAAAATGTATACAATATCTAATATAAGGATATGGAAAAATGGTAAAGGCAGGTAACTGTTCTGTTAGGATCTTGTGGTTCTATAAAGAAATGAAATTTCTTGAAACCATACAAATTAATGAAAGTAAACTATATGGCTTGTTCTAACAAAAAAAATAAGTTTCTCTAGACACTGAAAACTAAAAATAGATTTGATTATAGCTCTATATTGAAGTGCTAAACTGAACACCACAAAGAATAAAGTTCTTTTCCTTGAAAGATGTATTATATATTTTAAGAAAAAGAAAAAAAAAAAAAATTAAAACAAAAATCAAATCTGAACAAAAAGCCTTTCCTTGTAATTAGCTAATATTGCATTAACTCAAATAACCATTTAAATTAATAGAAAGATATATAATTAGAATTTTTCTTTCTATAAGAGAATAGAGATAACAAAAAAGAAGTTATGCTATTAATATCTTAACCTCTAACTGGTAATAAATTGTTAATATTTCCAAAATGAACACTTACAAGATATGGGACACTTCAGGTGGTCTGATATATAATTTTTTAATGCAGTTCATACCTATATGTAGTAAGGCCACCAGAAATGATTTTATTACAGTGAAAGATTTGTAATGATCCAACTGCATTATTGAATCAATTGTAAATATAAACAAAAATTCTTTCAAAAGAAAATTTAGAAAGGCAGCATGGAAATTTATTTTCATCACCATAAATTTACAGCTTATGGAGAAAAAAACAGAAAATAAGGAATCAACACTGATGAAGAAGAATAAAAAATCCTGTGAAAAGTTAATGCCTACTACTTCTATTTATTTGTCTCCTTTTATTTGTACCTATTCTTAAAGTTAGGACATAATCTAGAAATTCTGCAAAAAATACCCATCAGTAATCAGAGGCAAGAATCAATTCTTTTGAAAATGTTCTAAGATGTGATTTTTTTATTGAAAATCATAATTCAAACATTTTTATTCTAAATACTGTAATTCTGTATTATTGCAAAAAACATTCAAGTATTTTGCGTGATAGGCATAATTTTTAAATAAAACCTAAAAAAGCAACATTTTGATTTCCAATTAAATAATTATTTAATTCTCTATAATTTTGTAGAAGTATAAACAGAATGGCAATTTGTAACAGTAATAAATTAAATACTTTACTATAGGGTGCTAAATTCCCTTTCACTGACAACAGAAAAGTAAAACTCATCTTTTAAAGAAACAATTTTAATGTATTTGACAGGTATGACATTTTGAGGACTGACTATTATGTAAAAAAAAAAGAAAAAAAAAAAAAAGAAAAAAAAAAAAGATTACATATTTGCAAGAAAGGGTGTGTAAAACTAGCAACAACCCAAGAAGAGAAGTGTATGGATAATGATAATTGCTGGCTGTGAGAAACTTTTAAAGAGGAGGTCATAGTCATTTAGGCAGAAGAGAGACAAGATTCACTGAGAAGTATATTTTAGACTACCCCCCTATCCTTGAAGAAAAATATGTTAAATCAATAACTTCATATTTACAAAACAAAATGTACATGAAAAATAAATGATAACAAATTTTTAATAAGTTATACCTGGTCTATAATATTGAGGGGATTTTTTGGGGGGTTCCTTTGGGTTGATGCTGGCTCTTTTCATGTAGCTGTTGTAACCATCCTTCAAGTAACTGGTATTGTAGAACTTGCCATAATTAACGTTGAATGAACGTTCCAGAGAGTTGGAGTCCTGGAGATAAACAAAAAAGAAAATACATGTAAACATAAAAGAAACAAATTCAAAAAGAAACAAATCAGTAAACTGAAATTGTTTTAAATCGCTTAATTAGAAGATATCCACTTAATTGATTTTAAATCATACTCTGAATAATATTATGAAGAGTATTTAAAAAAAGAAAAAATTAACCAGTTAACATGAAACAATTAGTAATTTCAAAGCCTCAAATGACCCAATGTTAAAAAATGGCTTGTAATTCACCTGAAAGCAGGATTTAGTTGTAAAGTGAAGAGTTAGAAAAATTCTTAGTATTTTTTAGGTTGAACATCTGATATACCAAGTCAATGTAAAATGCCTGTTTCCTGAATTACTTCAACTTAGGTTTAATTTATTTTTCTTTTAGTATTTTTTTTCCTAATGACAAGAGCATCAGCTTCTTTCAGATGTTTGATTTATAAGTAATGATAGCCTTTTTTCAGGACAGTGAAATCATTCCAGTCTAAGAGAAATATGGAAAATGGCCATAATTTTTCTTGCCAAAATTAGAAAAATGAATAAATAAAAAATAGAGAAAGATTTTTTTCTTTGAGAAAGAGGCATTTGGATGGCAGCATTAAATATGATCGTTTGGGAAAGATCATCAAAGATTTGTTGTTTAAAATATTAATTTGGACTTTGCTAACCAGACACTTCTCTATAGCTAAGTGATATAGCACATCAGATCAAATGACAGTTCCATATAGGACACAGGTTTGATTCCTGTGGGGGGGAACACATATTTTCTATGAAATTTTTTGAACATTCAGACCAGTATATGTAATTAATATTATTTAATTAAAAAGAGCATTTACTTAAATAAATTGTATCTATTAAAATAACATACAGATAGAAAAATAAATATATATATATATATATATATATATATATATATATATATATACACACACACACACACACACACACACACATATATATATATATATATATACACACACACACACACACACAAGAGTTAGAGTTGGTTGGCAATTTATGTTTCAGTATTGGTTCCGATTTTTTTCCCTTTGGTTTTTGATTTGGTTTTTCGGTTTTTAATTTAGTATTTTTGCCTTCCAAGGAAGCCATTTATTTTCTTGTGTAATGATAGCATTTCCAGTTGATATCTGATTTCGTTTGAGATTGAGAAATTTGAAACTTAGTCCGTTCAACTCACAAACTCTTGTGTATTTCTGGTCCAATCTTAGTTAAAAATATTTATATGGCGGGAAAGAAAACAAATTAATATTTCTAAATATTTCATAGTTATTTTTTTTTACAGCGAGTTAAAACTGTTTTTGAACAGCCGAAAATGAAATATGATTTTTTTTTTCAAGACTAAATTTTACACGTTATTTTGTTTCACAAAATCAAAGTGACCAATCTATCAATATTCTTGAAATTGTAAAATCAATTAGAAGCCACCTTAAACTACAAACAGGAAGATGTTCATTTCTTCTCTGACCCGAGGAAGCGATTTCCTTCAAAAATTATAAAGTAAGCAAGGAAAAAAAAATAATAAAAAATACAGCAATTCTTTTCTGGCACAACAGTCAACTGTTAATGGGGTTTTGCAAATAAATTTCTTCTAAACAAGGAAAATCAATGAATTATTCCCCCCCCACACCTTAAATAAATTTGTTTTTATCTAACAAATACACCTAAAATTAAATATCAAAAATAATTAAAAGCTTTTAATTTCATTTCTAGAATGCGTAGATTTCCAAATCTGCAAGTATCATCTGTTTTTTTTAGATACACATTTTAAAACTGAAATTAAAAAAATATTTTAATCATTTTAATATATAATCTTAAGTGTATTTGCTAGATAAAATAAAACCATAAGGATATTGTAAAAATAAAGTGAATTAATTTTCCTTGTTTAGAAGAATTTTATAGGCAGAACAGTAAAAAAACCTACTGAACACTAGTGACTAAAATAGAATAATTTTTACTTTGGGTTTAAAAAAAACAAAAAAAAAAAAACGGCTTTCAGTTTTGAAAATATACACATTTTAAAACTGAGATTAAAACATTTTATTTTTTTAATATCTAATTTTAGGTGTATTCACTAAATAGAAACAATTTTATTTTTTGTAGAAAACAAACAATTTTACACTAGTGACTAAACTTGTGTATCTGGAAATATACACATTATTTTAAAAGTGAAATTAAGAACTATTTTAATTATTCTTAATATCAAATTTAGGTGCATTCCCTAGATAAAGAAACAAATTTATTTATAAAAATAAATAATCTTCATTCATTTTTCTTGTTTACAACAACTTTATATTGTGATTGGCATAATACTGGCTTTACTAGAAAACAATTACACTTACTACAAAAAATCCGACTTCATAAAATTTAACATTAAGAGTTAAGACGAAACTGGCAACTATTTTTATTTTTACTCACTATTTTTATGTTAACTTAATTTTACTGCAAAAAGTTTTTTTTTCCAAAACTGAAACAAATAGATTTCAGATGTCATGTTGTATTTCCTTTTTTTTTCTTTCCTTTCTTTTCATTTCTTTTGTAAACAATTAGATTTCATATTTATTTCCTAAAACTAAGTGTTTTTAACATATTTTTGTTCAATCTTTTTCTCTTACAATGGTATGAAGTGGTTAATTTTATTAACATCTAAATAGTGTTTTTTTGGATATGATCGCTCAGTAGTGCTCCTACCAAATACTAAAAATATTTGCCTTCTCTTACCAGGTTCTAAAACCCCTTACACAGCACAAACTGGGCATTACCATACACTGACAGTTTCATCCAAAACCACAAGTCTGAGCACTTTCATACACATCAACTGTAGTCCAAAGAATCACAAATGATTTTATATTGAAGCTTCCAACAAAAGTGGAATGGGACATAGCACCAAAATCTCAAGAACTTTTGAAGGCAATCAAGAAACTAAGATATAGCACAATTGCAAGTTGATGGCATCCTTCCAGAGATCTAGAAGCACAGCAAAACTCTTACATACATGGACTTCTTGTCTGCTGCTGGGAACAGGAAAAACTGCCCCAGGACTTAAATGATGCAGTTACAACCCTCGGCCAAAACAAAGTGAGACTGTTCAAAGTACCAGGGCATGATGCTACTCTGTTTTGCTGGCAAAATCCTTGGATAGAACTAATAGCAAAGTTTACTGCTGATCACCTCACTGAAAGTCAATGGCGTTTTAGAGTAAAATATGGCACAACTTACATGATCTTTAAGAGTATCAGGAGCAAAATAAAGGACTATATATCAACTTTATTAATGTGACAAAGGCTTTCAACACTGTAAGCAAACTGGGACTTTAGAAAATCCTTAGCAATATTGCTCACCCAAATTTCTCAGAATGATGATTTAAGTGCATGAGGCACAATATGGTACATTCAGAATTAGCAATTATCTCTTGAGCCCCTTTGCAATTATAAAGTGCATCCTGATTCCCATACTCAAGATTCTTTAGTACAAAGCTGAAACAGGTCTCAAAAAGAGATGGGTGATGATAAAAGAAATAGAACAAAAAACATGTACACCAATTATCAATCTGTTCAACCAGAAATGACTCCAAGCCTAAACTAAGACTACAATAAAGCTGATATGGGAATCCCAATTTGCATATGATGTCACCCTATTTATCCACATACAGACAACTCTACAAGTCACGTCCTGATTTACAAAGGCTACAGAACTGTTTGGCTTGGAAATTAGCCTGAAGAAAAGTGTAACCTAAACCTCAACAAAAGTACCACCCATTTTCCATATCTATTGGTTTGAATAAGCTGGATGTAACTCAGGACTTTGGAATGTTTCACATCCACAGATGGATAATAGAACAAAGAAGTTGACAACAACAGAGTGGCAAAAGCAAACCAACTCTTCACTAAACAACATAAGTGTGTTTGGATCTATAAGAGCATACAGAATGACACTCCCTCCAAAGGTTTACAAAGCTGTTGTGCTGGCCACTCACTATAGTGCCAAATCATCTACCAGTGTCATGTACACTTCTTCAAATGCTTTCACAAGTAGTTGCCATATCATTCTCTAAAAAGGTTGAAGTGATTTTATTACAAGCACTGCAGTCTTCAAGAGTGCTAGCACATTCATTCAACATGAAAGCAATGCTGCAGAAGACATAGCTGAGCCAGATAGGCAATGGATGAAGTAGGAAAAATTACAGGGATCCTCTAAAAATGAATATACATGAGGAGGCACTGAAAAGTTCTCAGCATGAACAAGAAACACTTAACCTCTTCCCCCCCAAAAAAAACTGATGTTTTGTTAGTAAGATTTTGTGAAGTGGGTCAGCACCTCCTTATACTTAAATATTTAATTAACTTATATCACAATACAAGATCTGTCTGGTAATGATCCAATCATTTAAAAAAGAATAACCTACCTAGAACAATAATGCTTTAGTCCCCTTCAAAGTACTCCTCTTGGGATCTCACATACATATCTGAGCATTAGTGTCACTTTTCAGAACAATCTGCAATCTCTGCTTCAGTGACTGCCATCTGCTGCCTCATTGCATTATCCTTAATCTCATTCACAATCTGAAATTTTCCTTTCAGCTGTAATTTTAGCTTTGAGAAAAGCCAGATGTTACAAAGAATCAAATTTGGATTATAGATGGTGCTGGTAAATCTATGTGATACAATGTTTTGCAAAAAAAAAAAAAATCCTACTTGAGATGTGAAAAATGGATAGTTGAGTTATTCAAAATGGCTTGATACCTTCCAGAAAGTATCTAGAATTCCCAGATCTTTTAATTATTGTACTGCCAATTATTGGTTTCTTTTGATTGCAGCCTCCATGCATTCAACATTTTGGGGTTGTCTACTTGATGAAGGTTTTCCAGAATGTGGATCACCTTTAATGTATTTCTGAGCAAATTTAAAGCTTCAGTACCAAAATTTTATTTTGGATTCACTCATTGAATAATTCCTAAAAATCTTAATCCTTCATATACG